ATATATATATATATATATATATATAATACACTTGCATGCATAGATGCATCTGTGTATGCATTTACATACGGGGTGGGGGAAGGGGGGAGGAGAGGGTGTTGCGTGGTTGCCCGGGTTGGGGCTCGGACAGCTGACTTAGGGTTTACTGCTCAGGGTGTGGTTCAACTCGTGTGTGTGCATGCATGCATGCATGCATGCATGCCTGGTGTTCATCTGTTCACCGCATGGATGCGTGCGCATGCATGCGTGTTGCTCTTCTAGTGTGTCTGCATGCATGCATGCATGTATGCATGTATGCTCTTCTTGTGCGTCTTTATGCATGCATGCAGCCTACCCAGTTGATTGGGGAGTTCCGTACCGCGTTGGACGAATGCCTCAACGCAGTGCAGCAGAAGGAGCCGCCGCAGCAGCGGGTGGAGTGGTATACCCACAGCATTCCTGTAGACAATTTGAATGTCTACCGCGTCAACTGGCCCACGGCTTGATCCTAAACCCTAAACCCTAAACCCTAAACCCTCAAAAGGTCGATATTCTACTCAGAGTGCAGTGTGCTGTAATAAGAGGTGGATATGCTCGCCTATTGCCGCTGTTTTGTTTTTCTGCCTTCGGCGCCTTCGAGTGTACATACACTCGGTGGCGCCTTCAGGTGTATATACACTCGAAGGCAGCTGCACTTCTTTGTTTCCGCTCACCACCTCCTGAGCGGCGAACAACCGTTATTTAATTTGTTTTAAGAGAGGGAACTGGAAAGCAGCTGGTTGCGCGTCGACAGTAGAGGACAGCAACCAACACAAGCAGAACCGATTCAAAAAAAAAACAAATTTCACATCCAAAATGCCGATGGAGCAGAATGCATGCATGCATGCATGCATGCATGCAGAACGCATGCATGGATACATGCACGCATGGCTGCAGTTCAAATCAGAATAACGGCGTACATTAGTTTCAGCCTGTGATTGCTTTTAGCGCTGCCGTTGGCTGTTTTGTGTTGGCTTGAGCAGTGTCTGTTTCGCTGCTGTCCTTTATTGCTGCTGCCTCGGCTGCTGCTGCTGCTGCTGCAGCGATGCTGCGGCTGGCAGCAGCAGCAGTGAACCTATCGTCTGTGTCAGGGAAGAAAGGCTCTTCGAAGGCAGCCAGCAGCACTCGCACCTTCTTGGGCCCTATGCCGGGGCACTGCTGCAGCTGCTGCTGCCGCGCCTTGAATATATTTCGCATGCATCTGAATTCCTTCGCTAAAGAAACGAAATCTGCGCGGTTCACTGACGGTAAGACCCGCAGCACCTCTGCAGCAGCAACACCAAAAAAAACAAACGAGCATGCAGAAGAAACAAATACATCAATAGACACAACAAAAACGGAAATACAATAAAAACACAAGATGCATACGCTTCATTCAAGTGTATATACACCCAGAAACACCAACAGCAGCGGGCGTTGCTGCACTGCCTGCCTGGCTGTTTCTAATACAGAAACCACATCGACCTGAACTCCTCCCCTCTGCTTTAACTTGGGAAAATGTCGAGTCATCATGATTCA